CCCATATCAGTGCAGGGATGTGCCACATGGATCTGAAGACATCTCTGCTTTCGTGTAAATCCCATAACACACGATCTCCTCGCAGCCCCTTGAATGTTTTGGATCCATTGGTGGTGGTGCTGACTCCGGCTTGGCCTAGCTTGCACAGCGATATCAGATTGGCCTTCAGCCCCGGTACGAGTAACACGTCCTTCAGCACAACCAGTCCAACATCAGGTGCTCTGAATGCAGCTCGACCAACTCCAGCGACCTTCACTGCATGTCCGGATGCTGAGCGCACTTCGGAGATTGGAGGCGCTCGCACAGCATCCAGCAAGTCCTTGCGTGGTGTCATTGTCCATGCAGCACCAGAGTCCATGACCCACATGTCAAGCGGGTGCAGTTCCTCTCCAGCCCTTGCAACAGCTGTGCCACTGTCATCTTTGTCACACACATGGTAGAACTGTCCAGCATTCCTCTCCTCATTTCCCATTCCTCTGTCATCCTTGGAGGTTTCTTCAGCAGGATCAGCTACCATGTTGGCACCTCCATATGGTTGCTTTCCTCCATTCCCCTTTTGAGATTGGTTCCAAGGGGTCCACCAGTCGGGCTTGGTAGAGCAGCGAAACCATGGATGCCCTTCTTCCTTGCAATACCAGCACTCTCCCCTCAAGCGTGGTTCACTGTTGTCATTGTTGGAGTGACCACCTCTTCCTCTTGCACCAGCGCCACCATGCCCCCGCTGGTTCCAAGTCCCGCGACCACCTTGGTTGTAGTAGGAGCGACCGCGATTGCCACGCCCTCGATCCCTCCATGTCCCTAGCATGGCATAGCCGCTGGTGCTGTCATCACCTCCGCGCAGTGTATAGCGACGAAAATCTTCTTCCAGAATCTTGGTGCGTATCCACTCCAATGTCCATTGACTTTGGTTTTGTGGCAAGCTGAGTCCGCTTATAAATTGCAGCCAAGACTCGGGCAGCAGGCTGAGCATCTTGAGACACTTAGTCTGCTCCGGGTACGTGATGCCTGCAATCGCCAATTTCGCGTAGAGTTCCCTCATCTTGTCCAGGACGGGCTGCACAGGTTCATTCTCGCTCAACCGCAGCATGGACAGCTCCCGATCCAGCATGAGAGAAGCGGCAACCGATGTCGGAGCGTGCAGGTCCTTGAGCACTGCCCATGCCTTGGGCCCACAATCAATTTCCGGTAGCAGATGCATGATGTGATGCCTCTGGTTCAGCTCCAAGCTTTGTGACAGTAGATAATACCCAGCAGATGAACGTTCATCCCAGTCCGCTTGCTCTGCCATTTCCTTTGGCCTTGGCTCCGTTCCAATCATGAGCTTCAAGAGGCCAATTTGTCGAAAGTAGAGCTGCATCTTCCATGCCCAATCGTCATAGCCATCTCCAGAGAACTTCTCAATGGTGAAGTTCTTCAGCACCTGGCTTGTATGCGCTCCCCTTTGCGCTGCAATGCCAGAATCTTGGGTTGAGCTGCCTCCTTGGACTGAAGTATCATCTCCACCAGTGTCCTCCTTATCTCCCATCATATTTTAGGTCCCAAATGCGTGATAATGGGCTCTGATACCACTTGTTGGTTAGAGAAGGCTATAAGCAGATGATTCAATGGCTCCTTGGAAATTTTTGCAGCACTTCGTTATGACGCCCAGAAAACTCGCGACCTTCGAAAAGCTATATCCAAAACTCCAATCGGTGAAACGATCTGAAAATCAGATATGTTGTAGCTTGCAGCGTCAGCTTTCCTCTGAAAGTTGAATCACTCGATTCCGTAGCTTAACGAGCGAGCTATGGCGTTTGGCGCACTGGGGGGTAATCTGCCCTAGGAGAAGTTGACAATCCTCAGAGTCACTATGATTGAAGCTTACAAGTTCAGAGGCATGATTGAAAAGGCATTGAAGCACAGTTGGAAGGTAGGGATGGAAGGGAAGGATGAAAGGGAAGGACCCTGGAGGCCCATGGTCAAGAACATGACAAGAGTCAAAGTCTTGACTCCCCATCCTCAGGTTCAGCCAGCCTGGCAAGACAAAATTCACACTGTACCAGGTTGGCCTCCAAACCCCAAATGCTGCAGCTGCAGGGTGGGGACAAGAGTCCCACACATGCTGGTCCCTCCTCGTTATAGGGCTCTCCAACTTTGGTGTAGCAGCTGACAAGGACTCCCAATGAGTTGTAACAAATCCATCAAACATTTCTTCGTAACTTCTTCATATGTGCTCCAATTCCAACAATTCTTGGCTCGTTGGAATGTGCTCGATGTCATGCACAAACCAAGCACATCTGCACAAGCACAACATGAATATGCAAAGACATGCAAACCCAACAAACCATACAAACAATGTAGCACACAAAACACATGCAACGAAATGATGCGAACAGACGAAAGGATGACGTGCAAACGAATATGCACCAACAGTTCCCACACTACGCCACAATCTCGTGGCCCAACACGAGCTCCAACGGGCAGGCGTCACCACGATCTTCCCAGCACACTCGGATCAGTGTGACCTCTTCGACCCTAAGTCCAACAAGCTCCTAGCACGCTTCACACTCAACAGTAGCAAGCTCTACACGCTGCGTTCACCTGCACCTCTCGCTGCCCTCTCCCATGGGCAAGCTGCCAGCACCACTCCGTGTTCGTGTCGCAGCTTCGCCAACCCAACCATCCTCTACCACCATCGCTTAGGTCACCCCAACTTCCGTACACTTGCCGACATCGCTTCCAAGAAACTTCTTCTTGGCCTCCCGTCGGCGCTTCCTCCACCAACAGACTCACCTGCACCCACCTGCCTGTACTGCACCAAGAGCAAGCTCAGGCAGCAGCCGCACCCTTCCTCCCCATCCGTCGCAGCTGCTCTGCTGGACCTAGTGCACATGGATGTGTGGGGCCCAGCTCCAGTCGCATCCCGAGGCGGTCATCGGTACTTTCTTACACTAGTCGATGACCACTCGCGGTATGTTTCTGTGCACCTCCTGCATACCAAGGCGGAGGCACCTGATGTCATCATGGCGTGGGTGCGCCAGGCTCAAGTCACGTTCGGCACTCCTCTGAAGTGCCTCCATTCTGATGGCGGGGGAGAATTTCGCAATGGCAAACTCGATAACTTCTGTGCGGCCCAAGGGATTCGGCAAACCTTCACGCTCCCCGAAAGCCCGCAGCAGAATGGCATTGCAGAGAGCCGCAACCACACCTTGGTTCAGATCGCTCGCTGCCTCCTCAGTCACGCCAACGCACCACGGTCACTCTGGGGATATGCCCTCTTCCATGCGGCACTCCTCTACAATCTTTATCCGCATCCCCACCGGCCCGATACCACACCTACCGCTCTCTGGCTTGGGGTCACGCCTTCCGCCCGATCTCTACGCGTCTGGGGGTGTACCGCGTATGTGTTGCTAAGCCCCCACACGTGCAGGAAGCAAGGTGGCAAGCTTGGTCCCAAAACCCAGACCTGCATGTACCTGGGGCACAACTCCGACTCCCCAGACTACTTATTCCTCAACCCAATCACCAGACAGCTGATTCGCAGCCGTGATGTCGTCTTCGATGAGACACGCCCATTCCACTCTGCGACCACGGGCGAGCCTCCTCCACCTCCCCCGACGCTTGTTTGGGCAGACTTCGATGCCCCACCTCCGGCCGCTGCCCCTTCTCCGGGACCTTCTCCGTCCGGCGTGTCTCACCCGGCCTCCCCAGTATCCTCCGCAGCAGCACCTCCTCCTGCTCCGCCTTCCCCGCGCGTTGAGCCCAGCTCACCAGTCTCCTATCGGAGGCGCCCAGTCCCTCCGGTCCCACCGCAGCCGCCTTCGTCTCCGGTCTCTAGTCGCACTCGTTCCAAGGGACCGGCTCCGCCTCTCGCCTGGGGACCAGCCGCCTTCTCCATCCGGTATTCGGTCACCCCGCCTCCTCCTGCCGGGGGTGATGTCCCCTCCATCTGTATTCCCCCCCGTGCACTTCTGGAGGACAGGCATGAGGAGCTGTTTGACCTTCACGCGGTCTGCCAATTTCTCTCTCACATCTGTTAGAAACAGAAATATTGAGTTTATTGATCAAGCAAAGGCATTACATAGGAAGAGAGAGATGAGCTAGGAAGGGAAGGTTGGAAGGGAAGGGGGGGTTAGGACCAATCACAAGGGAGGGAGGATCCTTCCAAATGTGGTTGACCACAAGTGGGAGGTGGTCCAAGTATGGTGGACCACAAGTGGCTTAGGCAACCCACTTGTGGTGCCCCCATAATTGTGGTCCTTGTGTTTGGGGGCTCCAACCACAATTGGGTTAGATTGACACCCCAACACAGGTGTACACCCAACTAGGGATGTAAACACAATATACACAACTAGCATAGCATGGTATATTCTAACACAACCCCATAGCATGCAAAGCTAGTGTATATAGAATGGACAACCCCAGAATCAGGAAGGGGGGCGGGGCCCAAGGCCGAGAAGGCGGAGAAGGGCATAGTGTGCGGTCTTCGGGAGGGCCTTGGTGAAGATGTCTGCCAAGTTGTGTTGGTTAGAGAAGGCTATAAGCAGATGATTCAATGACTCCTTGGAAATTTCTGCAGCACTTCGTTATGACGCCCAGAAAACTCGCGACCTTCGAAAAGCTATATCCAAAACTCCAATCGGTGAAACGATCTGAAAATCAGATATGTTGTAGCTTGCAGCGTTAGCTTTCCTCTGAAAGTTGAATTACTCGATTCCGTAGCTTAACGAGCGAGCTATGGCGTTTGGCGCACTGGGGGGTAATCTGCCCTAGGAGAAGTTGACAATCCTCAGAGTCACTATGATTGAAGCTTACAAGTTCAGAGGCATGATTGAAAAGGCATTGAAGCACAGTTGGAAGGTAGGGATGGAAGGGAAGGATGAAAGGGAAGGACCCTGGAGGCCCATGGTCAAGAACATGACAAGAGTCAAAGTCTTGACTCCCCATCCTCAGGTTCAGCCAGCCTGGCAAGACAAAATTCACACTGTACCAGGTTGGCCTCCAAACCCCAAATGCTGCAGCTACAGGGTGGGGACAAGACTCCCACACATGCTGGTCCCTCCTCGTTATAGGGCTCTCCAACTTTGGTGTAGCAGCTGACAAGGACTTCCAATGAGTTGTAACAAATCCATCAAACATTTCTTCGTAACTTCTTCATATGTGCTCCGATTCCAACAATTCTTGGCTCGTTGGAATGTGCTCGATGTCATGCACAATCCAAGCACATCTGCACAAGCACAAGATGAACATGCAAAGACATGCAAACCCAACAAACCATACAAACAATGTAGCACACAAAACACATGCAACAAAATGATGCGAACAGACGACAGGATGACGTGCAAACGAATATGCACCAACAAGATGGCCTCTGCAGCGATCTTGCGGACCACCAAGTGACCTTGCTGGACCAACTCCCGAACGAAGAAGTAGCGGAGTTCAATGTGCTTGGAGCGGCCATGGAAGACAGGGTCCTTTGTGAGATGGATGGTGCTGGCGTTGTCGCACCAGAGGGTGGGACAGCGCTGAGGAGCACCGATCTCAGCAAAGGAGGAAGGTGAGCCAGCGAGCCTCCTGAGCGGCCATGGTGCAAGCATAGAGCTCAGCCTCGCAGGATGAGAGGGCGATGGAGGAGGAGCGAGTGGAGCGCCAGCTGATGAGGCCGCTGCCAAGGGTGAAGCCGTAGCCTTGAGAGGAGCGGCGATCCGGCTGGGAGTCAGCCCAGGAGGAGTCACTGAAGCCAGAGAGGAGGGGAGGAGAAGAGCCTCCGAGGGTGAGGACATAGTCCTTGGTACCACGGAGGTAGCGGAGTACCCGCTTCGCTGCAGCCCAGTGCTCATCAATGTGACGACCGGTACCGACGAAGCGAGCAAGAACGCTGATGGGGTAGGCAAGGTCGGGGCGGGTGCACATCATAGCGTACATCAGCGAACCGACGAGCTCAGCGTAAGGATGGTCAGAGGAGGAGGGAGCAGGACGAGGGGCAAGCTGGTGGTCAGTCTGCAGGGAAGTGGTAACCGGCTTGGCCTGCGCCATGTCGAACCGCTGCAAGACTTGGTCGATGTAGAAGGACTGAGAGAGGGTAATGGTGCGTGATGCGCGGTCCCGGGTGATGGTCATGCCCAGATAGTGCTTGAGCTCACCCAGGTCCTTGCACTTGAGGCGAGCATGCAGGGCGTCCTTCACTTGCTGCATGGCGGCAGCATCGTCAGCGAACAGGATCATGTCGTCGACATACACCAGGATGAAGAAGCGGGTGGGAGAGGAGCGAAGGAAAAGGCTGGCATCAGACTGAGAGGCATGGAACCCCAGGGACTGCAGAGTGGCGGCCAGCTTGTTGTGCCACTCGCGAGGAGCCTGCTTGAGGCCATAAACCGGGCGGCGCAGTTCCCAGACTATGTTGGGAGGGAAGGCTGCATGAAAGCCTGGAGGCCGCCGCAAGAGGACCCGCTCCTGGAGCTCGCCTTGCAGGAAGGCGTTGGAGACATCCATGGAGGCAATCTCCATGCCAATGCGAACAGCATAGTCGAGGATGGCACGGAGAGTTGGGAGCTTGGCAGTGGGAGAGAATGTCTCCCAGTAGTCGATGCCATGGGTCTGGGTGAAGCCCTTGGCACAATACCGGGCCTTGTAGACCGGCTCTTCACCCGGCAACTGCTTCACTCGGAACACCCACAGGCCTTCAACAATGACGTCGTCAGGAGAGGGGACAATGTCAATGAATGAGGCATTGCGGATGAAGGCCTCGCATTCAGCAAAGATAGCCTGGATCCACTTGGCAGCATCGGGGCAGGTGATGGCCTCAAGGAAGTTGGACGGGGTGAATATGGTGGGAGCGGTAGCGATGCCAAGGATGAGGAGGCCAAGGAAGCCCGGGTAGAGAGGCGTGAGGGAAGGTGTTTGTTGCTGAACGCCAATGAGCTCCTCATGGGAGTCCTCGATGAAGGGAAGGGAGGGTGGGGGTGGCGTTGGCCAACCACATGGATGGCCTATGAGTGGGCCATGAGAGCGAGTGTGCATGCGTGGGAAGATGAACAGAGAGGTGGTGCAGCGATGCCGATGAGGTTGCTGCTGTGGTTGCTGCTGCTCCGGCTGCTGCTGCTGCTGCTGCTGCTGTTGCTGCTGCACCTCCTGCTGCGGCTGTTGTTGCTGCACTGCCTGTGGTTGCTGCTGCTGCTGCTGCTCCATCTGCTGCTGCTGCTGCATCTCCTCTTGCTGCTGCTGCTGCTGCTGCTGCTGCTGCTGCTGCTGCTGCTGCTGCTGCTGCTGCTGCTGCCGCTGCTGCTCCATCCGCTGCTGCTGCTGCTGCTGCTGCTGCTGCTGCTACTGCTGCACCTGCTGCTGCTGCTGCTGCCGCTGCTGCTGCTGCTGCCGCTGCTGCTCCATCCGCTGCTGCTGCTGCTGCTGCTGCACCTGCTGCTGCTGCTGCTGCTGCTGCTGCTGCTGCTGCTGCTGCACCTGCTGCTGCTGGTGCTGGTGCTGGTGCGATGAGGCAGAGTGAGCAGGGGAGTCAGGGACAGCTGGGTCGTAAATGTCACCTGACGAAGGAGGAGGGGGAGGAGCAGGATTTGGAGGAAGGAGGGGAGCCTGGGGAAGGAGTGGGGGAATGACAGCCTCAGCCTGTTAGAATATACCATGCTATGCTAGTTGTGTATATTGTGTTTACATCCCTAGTTGGGTGTACACCTGTGTTGGGGTGTCAATCCAACCCAATTGTGGTTGGAGCCCCCAAACACAAGGAACACAATTGTGGGGGCACCACAAGTGGGTTGGCTAAACCACTGGTGGTACACCACACTTTGACCACCTCCAACTGGTGGTCAACCACATTTGGAAGGATCCTCCCTCCCTTGTGATTGGTCCTAACCCCCCCTTCCCTTCCAACCTTCCCTTCCTAGCTCATCTCTCTCTTCCTATGTAATGCCTTTGCTTCATCAATAAACTGAACCTTTCTGTTTCTAACATGGTATAGAGCAATAATGGCTCACGCCAACTTTTAAATCCCGATCCTTCCCCACGCTTCCGCCCCGTCCCCTTCTGACGTGCACCTCATTGCCGTCCCCTCCATCGCCGCTGCTAGACTCCTAGCCGCCGCCTCTCAACTAGTTTTCTGTTGGGTGGATTTTCAAAAACCCCCAATGCGCCAAACGCCATAGCTCGCTCGATAGTTGACAGAATTGAGTGATTCGACTTGCAAAAGAACGCTCTTGGTGTCAGCTACAACGTCGTAAAATTTCGGACTGTTTCATCGCTTGGATTGTCAGATATCGCTTTCCGAAGTTTGCACACTTTCCTGGATGTGATCACGAAGTGCTACTGAAATTTCTACCAAGTCCTATTTTCATCAGCTAACTGCCATCTTTCCCCATCTTTTGCCTCCTCACCTGCACCTGCTCATCGCCGCCTTACCACTGCTGCAGCCATAGCAGCAGCAGCAGAAGCAGCAGCAGCACCAGAAGGAGCAGCAGACTCAGCAGCAGCAGCACCAGCAGCAGTAGCAGCAGCAGCAGCAGCAGCTGAAGGAGCAGCAGCAGCAGCAGCAGCAGCAACAGCGGCAGCAGCAGCAGTGGCAGCAGCAGCAGCGTCAGCAGCAGCAGCAGCAACAGCAGCAGCAGCAGCAGCAGAAGGAGCAGCAGCAGCAGCAGCAGCAGCAGCAGCAGAAGGAGCAGCAGCAGCAGCAGCAGCAGCAGCAGCAGTATCTACAGCCATCCCCATCCTCCCCTCCTCTTTGAGCCGCCGCGGGTCCACCCGCCGCCGCTCCCTCCCGGCCACCGCGGGTCCACCCGCCGTCGCCTTCCTCCCACTCCGTGTCACCAATGGCATCCTTTCCCCCTCCCGTCGACGTCTCGACCCTCGATCATCTCGTGCGCGCTGCCGACAACTCAGCAACCAACTGGTATTCCTTCGTCGGCAGCCTCCACCGCGTCCTCGGCAGTGCTTATGTCCTGCCGTTCCGCCTCCTGGACATCATGCTTGGTCTCCCAGAGGGTGACCTTGGGGACCCGCCGCCTCACCCTGGCGATCCCCCCCCTCTCATTCCCCATCCCGGCGAGGAACCTCCGCCCCCCATGGTACCCGTTGGCACCAGCACTCGCGCTGCCACCGCTGAAGTTGAGCAGCTCTTCCTTACTCAGCGTCGTGAGTTCCTCGTGCTCCATACTGATTACCTGATCGCGTTGGAGGAACACGAGCGGTCGGCAACCCTCCGCACCCAGCATGCCGCTACCGCCGCCGCTTATGCCGCTGACTCTGCGCGATTTGCTGAGCGTCGTCGCGCCTGGCTCGAGGCGGACAGCCGTGCTACTGGTGCCCTTCTCCTTGCCATCCCGTCTGCGCTCATGCGCAACTTCCAGGCACGTCGCATCGGCTCCCGCCAGATCTGGCTCGAGCTTGAGGCAATGTTCGAACGCACCGACTTCGATGCTGTCGGACCGCTCTTCAAGGAATACTTCAGCATCATGATCGAACACAGTGCTGGCGCCGTTGACTACACCAGCCGTCTCCTGGACCTTGCCTCCCGCCTTGAGGCTCGCCAGACTACTCTCCCCCCCAACCTTCAGATCTACCGTCTCCTCGAAGGCCTCTCCCCTCAATATGAAGTGCGCGTCATCGCCTTCACTGAGGCTCAGCCCCGCGCCTCCCTTGACACTGTGGTCCAATGGATCATTGACGCTGAGGCCCGCCTTCTCTCAACCCCCCCCTCCGGCCTGAACTCCACCGAGTCCCAAAACCCCCAGCTTGCAGTCACACAGCCGCGTCGTGGCGGGCGCCCACGTGGCGGCCGCACCAACCCTCAGGGAGGGGGTGGAGGTGGCGGTTGTGGGGGCAGCGGAGCCGGCGGCGGTGGTGGAGGGGTCGAGGGTGGCAGCAGTGGTGGTGGTGGAGGCAGTGGTGGCTCATCTGGTAGCCGTGGTGGCCGCCCTGGCACTCTCCCCCCATGTTCCTATCTTCGCCGTTTTGGTCCCAGGGCGGGTGAGCGCTGCACCCAAACCAACCATCCCCCCGCGACCTGCTTCAAGGCGTATGATGACGCCTGGTTCGAGCGCGGCAACACTGGCACACCCCCACGCTGGTCTGCCATGGATCCCCGCCCCTCTCTCCAGGATGTCAAAACTCTTCCGTCTTTTCTCCCCTCTCATCTTCAGCTCTCCTCCTCCTCCTCCTCCTCTGTCGCTGACCCCATAACTCCCCAGGAGCTGCAGCAGTTTCGCCGCTTCCAGCAGCTGC